GTATTCCTATGTCTTTGGGGAAGTAAGTGATGAGGACCGAGAGAAATTCTCACTAAAAGATTTATCACTCTTCAGAAAATAAAGATCAAATATAAAAAGTGATAATCAGATAACAAGAGAAAGTGAACTTTCATAAATTTGGTATACTTGGTTAAATTTCTGAACACAATCCGTGTATAGGTATATCACTATATACTTATATATAAATGCACAAAGTGGTCAATACAAAAAGCTGAACTTCTATTGGGTTTTCTAAAAGTTATTCTTGAAAACTCCCTATTTTAGGGGTCGGAGCAATAGTACAGTGCAGGGTAAGTGCCCTGCATGCAACCAACCCGGTTTAATCCCTGACATCCCCTATAGTACCCCGAGCACTGTCAGTGATTTCCTGAGCACAGAGTGATTCCTGAGCACAGAGCCAGAAGTAAACAGTAAACCCTGAGCATCACTGGGTGTGCTCCTCCCCCCCCCCCAACCCCTGGGGGGGGGGGGCGGGGTGGAACAAAAAACAGAGGTAGTACAGATGAAAATTAATGCCAACCAGGAAATGGGAAGGAAAGTATGAAAAGCTGTAGAACTGAATGTGTCACTGAGGGAAAAAGACTTGACCAGACAAGACTAGCTACAAGCAGGTGCCATGAAGACAACAGGGTAAGAAATCGATGGAAGGAGGAATCAGTGAAGGATTCAAATGCATTTTTGAGATGCCTGTGAACGAGCCAGAGGAACTGTTGAGTAGGAGGCTGGCTGTCAGCACTGCCTATGGGTCAATTTCTTTAAACTGACCAGTAGAGGTTTTGAGGAAGGACAAAAGATCACACCCCAAGCCTTCTGCATCCGGAAAGCATGCACGTGTGCACCATTTTAACATGTGCAAGTGCCACCGACTAGAACCTAAGGACCATTTTAAAGAAACAGACTGCCCTTACACAGTTCATCAGAGGAATCAAGAACTCCAGTTCTTTTTCATATGTAACGTTAAGCAGTATGTTAAGATAATGATTTGACTTAACTGGAGTTAACAGCTCTAGTCACACAACATTGGAGGAAACATCATTATAGTCATTCCTTCAAATGACATTTACCTTTTGGCCATTGCCCCTCGGAAGGTATATAATTTCTTCAATTTCATAAGTATTTTGTTATGGAAAACACCCATGAAATTGCTCACAAATGAGTACATCAAGGCTCAGAATTGCCTGTATTGTCCAAAGGGAATACAGTAACAGAGTCGAGATTCAAAAATCAATGTATCACCAATTCCCGGCTGTTTTTCCACATGAAAATGCCAGAAGTGCACCCCCACAAAACTCACCATCTGTGACACGTCATGTGCAAAAATAATCATAAGATAAAACAGGGTGGGGAGGTTTGGCTTAAGGGAACAGAAAGAACAAGAGAAAAATACTGCTTCTTGATTTTGATTTGATTTTGATTTGCTTTATTGTGGGAGGGGGTAGGAGGGTAGATTGGGCCTTAAACAGCAGGCGGGCAGTGGGGAAGGATGGAAAGGAATGCTACTCCTGGTTCTGTGCTCAAGGGAGAAAGCAGTGCCAGAAATTAAACCCCAGTCTTTTGCATACAAGGATGTATTCAATCCAGTGAGCTTTCTCCCACCCACTTTTTGATTTTTACTACTTAAAAGTCTTAATATGATAAAAAGTATGTCTTTCACCTCTCAGTATCCAAAACGCCTAATAGTTCTGAGTCCTATACAGAAAATCTTAGAACTCTGCCTACTCTATGTACAGCCTCTTCAAAGACTGGGCCGTGGAGGGAAAAAAAGCCGCCTGCACTTCAAAAGCCTGGGGTAAATCCCAGCTCTTCATTTGCCTAAGGTCATAAAACAAGTCATTAACAGCTAAGCCTCAGGTGTCCTCATCAGTGAAAGGAGGACACAAACATATTTAATAACTATTACTACTTGTAATTATTATTGGAAGAGCACACCAATGACTTACAAACTGAGTTCTATTTAGCATGGTAACTGTTTATATCGTAGACTGTTAGACATAATACTTTATCACCGAATGTTGTGAGATGTTGTTCACACCATCTCCCCCCACCGCCTAGTTTCCTGAAATGTTTAGAGCTCTTTGGCCCATCTCCTGCCTGGAAGCCCAGGTCACTCTGTGCTTATCTTCTCGCAGCAGTTTAAATGCTCTGAACTGGTCACTGGTCCCCTGTGCTAGGCATCGTGTTCCTGGGGGGCAGGGCTGTGCTTTCTCATCAGTCGCTCAAGAACTGAGCACACCTATGTGCGGGGCTCTTGATAAGGTCGTGACAAAACAGAGAACAAAATAGTCTGTGTCTTCTTAGAGCTCGTATTCAAATGAGCTCAAAGAAACAGTAAGCAATTTCCTATTAGTAGTAAGTGTCATTAAAGAGGGAGGTTGGAGGACTAGAAGTATCACAGGATCTGTGAATGTGCTACTTCACAAAGATCATCAAGGAAAGACAATTAAAACCTTGGGGCGGGGGGGGAGTGGAGGATCAAGTGCAAGGGCACTTCTACTTGTGAAGCAGGAACAAGTGAGGATGAGGAGAGAATGTAATATAGCCAGTGGGGGATAAAGACCCCTGGGAGGACAGGTTCTGAGCACAAGCGTGTGCCATGATCTAACTTACATCTTATAGAACCACTGGCGCTTCTGTATGAAGAACCTGAGGAAACAGAATATGTGACAGGAAGAAGGCAGATGCTGGTAGAGTCAAGACAGGGAAGCTGACGATGATTAGCTGGGCTGTAGTTGGTAGAGGGAGAACCCGCACAATCTCTTGAACTGAATGTTCGTGAGGGGGGAATCATCAAGGAAAGCTTTTGAGAGGCTTAGGAAGAGTGGAACTGGCATTAACTGACACAAAGCCAGAGAAGCAACTTTGTTTTCCCAGAACCCAACAAATTATCCAAGACACAGAAGCCACTCAAATATTTACTTGTGGACTGTTTTCCGTAAATTAACCAACCAAACCTCCAACACGAAACAGTGAACTGGATGCGTTTATCGCTTCCCACTGGCTCTAAATGGCCTATGGTACCCTGTGTTCATTGCACAGACCTGGCTAGTTCAGGTGCTAACATAGAAACCCAGCACAGGACTGCAGCAACTAATCCTGCCATCTCAGGAACCAGTTTCGGTTTTAAATGAACAATTCTCCTAGTTCTAAATCTGCTAGGAAGAGCTCTGCGACAGCCTGAGGATTCTTACACCCAAAGTAATTAACCTGTTCGTTAATGATGTCATATTCCTGGAAGGTAAGAGACCTGCAAATTGAACTCCCTAGGCCAGAATTAATTGAAAATTCTAACACTTGCTGATAAATTTTCAGAATGGGACATGATGAAGCAAGTCCCCCTTTTTTAAGAAGTAAGCCACCGATGGGTCTTGAGCATTCTTCAAAATTGACCTTCCCACCACAAGCACTCAGCCCCTTCAAAACCACTCCCGTAACTACGCCCGGCCGCCTGCTTGAGAATACGAAGTTTTAGCACCTCTTCCCCAAACCAGGCACTTTTCCAGCCTGGGAGTGGAAACGAACGGAGCTCCACTCAGCAGAGAACGGAGTCTCCTCACGTTTACTATACTGCTTATGGTCGGCTTCCCAGATTTTGTCACCCGGCTGCCTCACTACAGCTCCACAACGAACCAGTTGCCCGAAATAAATTCAAATGCATTCTAAACTGAAACGTGGCCATCCTTCCGGAGCAGCGCCGAGATTTTTAACTGCAGAAGCCCCAACACCTTCTCTGTCACCGCAGTTTCCTGATGCCCCACCCGAGCCTGGCAGGTCTTGCTGCCGGTGGGGGTTTGTGCTTGTTTGTCTGCTTGTTTTCCTGCGCTTACAAACTTCCCCAGAAAACAGCAGCGCTCACAAGCCTAGATCCCTTGCGCCAAGCTGCCCGTATTGCATTCAGCAACAGGCAGAACTTTCCTCTTCCCCTCGACCAGTCAAAGGTCTTGAACCGAGCCCGAAAGCTCGGCTGCAAGGCCTGCCAGATTCGCCGTTATCTCGCCCACCCGCTCCCCGCCCACCCCCACCCCCAAAGCAGGCCTGGAGACACCAACGTAGAAAACCCACCGGGAAGGGGGAGAGGCGTGGGGGGAGGGGGGAGGGGGTGCAGGGGGGGGGGGTCGCAGCCAGCTATGAGTTTCCGAGACAGGGAGGAGATTCAGTGCCAGACCTTTTTCCCTCCACCACCACCTCCCCCCTACCCCACCTCGGCGAGCCCCCCGCCCAGCCGCTCTGCGCCCCCAGCCAGCAGCTCCGTGCGCGGACGGCGGACTCGGCGGACGGGGCGGAGGGAGGGAAGGAGGGAGGAGGGAGGGAGGGAGCGCCCGGGGAGAGGAGGCGGCGCGCCCCGCCTCGGGGGCAGGGAGTGCCCCGGGGGTGCCCGGGCTGCCCGGAGGAACGGAGCGCAAATAAGCGCGCGTGCCAAGGCGGAATGCGGCGTCCGTGTTTCCCCCCCCACCCCCACCCCCACCCCTCCGCCACCCCCCATCCCCGGGGGAGCGCAACGCTCAGCGCCACCGCGAAACGGCTCGGGCCGGGGTTGCCCCGCTCCACCGAGCGGACGGGCAAGGCTGGAGGGGTGGAGAGAGACACTACCGGGTCAGGACTGAACACCAACACCCCCCACACACACACACACATACACACACACACACACACACACACACACACACTCCCCTCGGCAAGAAGGGGGCCTAAGGCAGCCCGGGATGCCCACGGTGCCCGCGTAAACAGGGCAAGCGCGCCGCGGGGGCGGCAGGTGGTGGGCGCCCCGGAGACCCGCGGCGGCTGTCATCGCCGGCACCGGGGTGGGAGGGGAGGGCAGGGCAGGGAAGCCCCAGCGCCCCAGGCGAGCGGGGAGTGCGGGGCGGGGTGGGGACACCCCCCGGGCGCCCCGAGCGGGTTTGGGGGGGACGCGGCGGGTGGCGCGCGCACCGGCCCGCCAGAGGCCACGAGCCCAGCCGCCTCCCCGCCTCCTCCACACTCACCATGTAGAGGGTGAAGGGCAGGCCGAGCAGAAAGAGCCACAGGTAGAGGTGCAGCGCGTTCACGAAGGTGGCCTGGTGCGGGTCGTAGTACCAGCCCCCGCTGAGCGCGGCCCACACCCCCTGCCGGAGGATCTGCAGCGTCTGCGACCCCATCCCCAACCCGGCGCCGCCGCCGTCGCCGCCGCCGCCGCCGCCGCCGCCGTCCCCGCCGCCGCCGCCGCCCTCGCCCTCCTCCCCGGCCCGGCCCCAGCGTGGGCCCGGCCCCGGCTCTAGCCCCCTCCGCAGCCCGGGGAGAGCGGGCCGGCGCTCCGGCGGTCGCTAGGGCTGCGGCAGGAGGCGGAGGAGGAGGCGGAGGAGCAGGAGGAGGAGGAGGAGGAGGAGGCGGGGGACAGCGGAGAAGAGGAGGGGACCGGCCTCCGGAGCGCCGCCGCCATCTTGTCTGCTACGGCCCGGAGCCCGAGCCGGGGCCCCGCCGCCCGCGGCCCGCCAGCGCCCACGCCGCCGCCGCCGCCGCCGCCGCCGCCGCCGCGACCCCCGCCGCCCGCCCGCCCGCGCACCGCCCGGCCGCGCAGGACGCCCGGCGCCCGGGAGCGACGCGCCGCCAAGCCACGCCCCCTCCGGCTCCTCCTCCTTCCCCCCCCTCCTCCTTCTCCCCCTCCTTTCCCCGCGGGGCCGCGCGGCGCCTCGGCCCCGCGGGCGCCCCCTGCAGGCGTCGGGGGGAAAGCGCACGCCGGGCTGCAGCGGGGTGGGGGGGGGGGTGCCCCGAGGGGCCTGGCAATGCAATGGTACTCCTAGACGCGCCCCCCACACCCCGTGCATTCCCCGTGCTGCTTAGTGTGTGCTCCCAGCCCTCCGAACCCTTTGCCTTAAAAAAAGAAAAGAAGTCTGGCTGAGACACGCTCTGGGTTATTGATGAACGACCCAGAGAGGAAAAGGGGGTGTCCTCCGTGTCCATGGAAGGCCCAGAATTAGGTGAGGCTGACCAGCAGCGCGCCCAAGGTGGGCAAATTATGTTTCGCTCCTTTGACACGGGCTGGCGGCTCCTGCGGGCAGAAAAAAAAAGAAATAGCCACCCATAGTTCAGAATTAGGTGGGTTTCCTACTTCCAAAGATGGATAAAGTAATAGAAGTTGCAAGAGATATAAAGAAATATATACATGTGTGTACATATATATTATATGGGATGCGGGGCTCAAAAGTTTCTAAGCAAACATGCTCGCAGGATTCCTTGCTGGGTTCGGTCCTGGGCAGGGGAGGCATGGCAGGAATGACCTCAGAGCAAACGTGCAGGGAGTAGCCCTTGAGCACCGCCAGTGTAGCCAAAAAATAAAAGATGTAAGGGAAATAGACAGATTTATCATTTGCACAAGATGATTTTAACGTGCTGTGACTTGTAGCCATCTTTGTTAATGGGCCAATCTAAACGAGGTTGAAAGACTCCACCCGAAGTTACAATAGAGTCTTGTACTTTTTTTTTCCTTTGGATATAAAAACTGGGAATTGTTCTTGGCCCAGTGAAATGTTTACCAGCATGTCTGATTTCACTGAATGAATAAAAACAAAATTTAGAGTCCAAGGTTTATTATACCCATAAAATGACTGTAATCCGGGATTTTAAAGTGCCTCAAGAAATGAGAAAAGCAAGAGGCTCAAAAGAAACGGGACATTTTAAGAAGACTGAAGAACCATGGCTGTAATTCCTCTTTTGCAGGTCACACATTTTCATACCCATTGCACTTGACCTTCACAGCATCCTTATTATGGATAAGGAAATCAAAGTTCAAAGAAACGAAAGTGACTGTCCCTGTTCTCAGAAGTAATGAGTGACAGAGAAGACATCTGAAATCAGATTGAACTTTGAAAGTTTCTGGGAACTCCTAACCTCCTTGCAGATAAGGATTTGAACCTCTCAGTTATCGTTCAGCAGCTTCTGGCTATCTGTGACCAGCTTAAATGTACAACCAGTTGTTCTCCAAGACCAGCTGAGTCAATATCACCTGATAACTTGTTAGAAATGCAAATTCTCAGTCACTTCACCAGAGAACCTCTGATGTGCATCGGTTCAGCAATCTCTTTTAACAAGCCCTCCAGAATATTCTAATGTTCTTCAAAATATATTAGTATGTCTAAAAACACAGAAGGAAGATCAAATCATGCCATTTTTGTATTTAAAATAGTAATCTTTCTGCTTGATCAAAGACATGAGGCTTTGTGAGGTGTTCATTTGTTTCCTGTCAGGGAGACAGGAAAACTCTCTGAGCAGATTTTGGAGTGATTGAAACTTTCCAACACAAAGAAAGATGTCAACAAGGATTAAATTCCAGTTCCACATCAGTTTCTATGCTGGCAAATATCTACTGTAGTTTAATGTAAAAGAACTAACAGTCAGAAGTGGAGACAAGAGTTACATATCTGTGGAATTAGAGGCCAACCCAGCTGGCGTGATGAGCAAGCTGCCAGAAGACAGTATCTGGAGGGTATGGAATATGGAACTGGCAGCAGCCAGGAAGGCAGCCAGCAGCAGGCTGGTTCCACACAGAAAGTGTCGTAAGTCAATGGGCCGCTGCCACTCAGCCTTGGGAAATCCAGAACTGGACCAAACTTGAGAAATCATGACCTACATTAAGAATATGTATTGCTTAGAGCAAATCCTCGCCCTCGGTGGTGTATCCCTAGTCAGGATTCCTAGGGGAAATTGATGGAAACAAACAGAATTCGGGTCCTCTAGGTGATGTGGCCAGCCAGGTCTAGAGGCGAGAACTTAGGTTCATTACAAGAGGACAAATACCCACAGGCTAGGTCTGACGGGTGGAGTGAGTCTTTGACCATGAGCTTAACACGTGGACTGAAAGCTAGTCTCACAAGGAGATTTTGTCTTATCATCATCTTGCGTTGAGGTCCCGGAGTTCTGTATTCTAATTTTCCTCTAGTATGGCTGGATCTGGAAATCTCAGAGTCTAGAAATGGCAAGTGGCAAACTAAGAGGGAAGGAAAAGCAGTTGTACATGGTATCTTTCAGCGCTGGCTTGGAAAACACATTTTAGAAAAATGCTAATTAGCTTAGAGAAACAATTATTGAAAGAATGTCATGCGTGTCCTTCCTTCAGGACTGACTCAGTCGTTGGATGAGGAGGGCTGTGGAGAGAATCCTCAATGCTTTTTATCTGTAGTATAAGTGTTGGTGTGTGCTGCCACACAAGCTTGCTATTTCAGAGACAGAAAAGCAAGGGACAAAGAGGATAAAAGGTTTACCCAGAGTAACAGACCCTGTTATGCCCATAAAAGATAAAAAGCAGGCCAAGAAGAGAGGAATTTAATTTGCTAAGTGTTAACCCTCTGAGCCAGGCATAAAAGCCATTAATAATGTTACACTTAGCATGTCAAAGTTAGTCGCCATGACATACTGCCAAACCACCACCTGACATTTGCTCATCTTTCAGCTAATTCTATTAAAATGATGCTTCCTGACGAGTGCCTAGGCCCCCTGAGGGCTATGAGGGCTTTGACAGCAGATGCTGTCACCTGACTAAAAGGGTCAATGCTAAGTGTTCAAAATCTTCTAATAACTCTCACCCAAGCCCACCTTAGAGCGAGGTGTACAAACCACCACCACTGACAAACCACCACCACTTAGATGTTGTTGTGTCTATTGTGGACGTTATAGCCCCTGTGTCCTGCTAGCATCCCAGATGCAGCATCCTGTCTCCCCCAGTTCAGCCCTTCCAATTTATTTCTTCCAGGAACACCAGCATCTTCCAGTCCGCTGAAATGCTTCCTCCCTTCTCCAGGCTGTTTCCTCTTTGTTTCTCCTCTCAGACTCCCTCTGGTCATCAGATTAACCATCATGGTGGAGGTCCTACTCAATTCACACCAGAGAGCCTCCTATGGCCTCAAATCTCTCTATAAAACCACAACACATTAATCTCCCTAATCCACTTTTCCCACGCCTCGCCTTCTCTTTTCTTGCACAAGTTTCAATTCCCTTCTTTTGCCTGAGAAGGCAGAGCCCTTCACCAGACATTCAAAGTTACCCACAATCTGAATCACTAATTTCTCTAACTTAACTCTCTAGACTCTGTGACATTACCCTTTTACTGCTGAATCGGTGTACTATTTATTCTTTTTTTATCTGCCCATCCACTGATGAGCTTCTGCTCCTGTGTTTTCAGATATCATTTGTCTAGAAAATCTTTCTCCCCCAGACACATACTGAATCCTTTCATTATGTTAAATTCAAACCTATGTACCTATTTTCTGAATAGCCCAGAGACTGAAATATTCCATTCTTTTGGTACTTAAATGTGAACTACTTTAAATCCATCTAACCCAACTGTCCCCTTCTTGAAGGCAGCCTGGCAGCCTGTGACAGGATGCCTGGTGAAAAGCTGCTGAGATCAACTGGCACTCAGTTCATGAAAGTTGAATAAATAAAACAAGCAGAAGGCAAATGACTTTTCAGTTCAAGATCTTAGTGTTTGAGCTTCCATTTGGACACTCTTCAACATTTAAAAGCAAGTCACCCACTTAAAAGAAATAAGGAATAAAGGTGAAGGCAATTTGGAAGAGGATGAAATTGCCCTAGAATTCTGTCCTGGTTTTGAGTCATTTGCTAAATGTTACTTTACATCACGTCGGGAAAACAAATGTTAAAGGGGAGGAAGGGGACTTTCCTAAATATTACATAGCATAATTATGAAATACCAGTATCTAGATATGTAGCTTGAAAGTAAATTTTTAAGCAGTTCATCTTTGGAAATCTCAATTCAATCTACTCTGCTCTTTTGAAGAGGTCAATTCCAAAGGATGAAGACTTTAATACAATGTTTCCCAACCTTTTCCCAGCCAGGGCTTCTTTCTGAACTTGTTTCTGTCTGAGTACCCCCACCCTCCACCCTGCCCCTGTTTTACTGATTGGCCTCTAATCTTGAGTCTTCCTCGTCTTGGTTTTCACCTGTGTACCCTTACAATGTCCTGAGAACCCATGGGGGAGCAGGACCCCTGGTCAAGACATGCTGTTTATTTATTTTGAATTTTATTTTTATAAAGTTGCTCGCAATAATTTATTACATGTAATATTCCAACACTAATCCCACCATCATTATGCCTTTTCACCACCATATTTTGAATGTTCCCAACATGACCCCAAACCCTGCCCCCAAAGCAGGACCAAAATAAGTAAAGTAAAGTAAAGTAATAATTTATTTTATATTGCTTGTTATGAATAATCTGCTAAGTCCAAAAATGTTTCCTTCGAGGAAAGTATGTGAATTGTTATATTTCACCCTGGAGCCATTAAGCCCTTGTATAAGAGATAACTAAGATGTTGTGAAAGGTTGAGACTTGTGTGCTAATATGTGCGTGTGTGTGTGTGTGTGTGTGCGTGTGCGTGTGTGTGCATATTTTTTTCTCCGTGAGATTGGTTTCCTTCTTCTTTACACCCCATCAAATGTTGTAGTATGCTACTCTTGGCACATCAGTGGTGTTGAGTACAAGATGTCCCGAGGCCACAAATGCA